GCTGAGAGGGGAGGGGGGGGGGGTCCCCAGCAGGGAGCAGGGGGTGGTGGGGAGGGAAGAGCCCCACGCTGAAGCTGTCCCAAGACCTGGGGTCACAGGACATCGCCTCCCCGGTGAAAATATCCAGGGCACCATCCTAGAACCCCGAAACCCACCAAAATTATCTAACCACCAAAATTTATCTAACCACCAAAATTTATCCCGTCCCGTGAGCCCCAGGGAGGGAGCACTTACAGGACCATCCTATTGCCCGGCAGAGAGAGGTGCAGGCAGGAGCTGCCGGCTGGTGGGCAGAAGATGAGGACATCAGATGGCCTCTGCTCAGTGGTCACCCCTTTCCACCCAGTGTTTCTCCATCCCAGGTCAGCCTGCTCAGCCATGAATGTCTCTGCCCCCGGCAGCCAGCTGAGACAGCCCGAGCCCCAGGACGCCGCCGCCTTCACTCCCGTCTCCATCGTCAGGAGCGTGACGAAGAAGTCGGACGCCCTGCCCATGATCTCGGTCATCGTCGTCATCTTCGTCCTCTTGGCCGTCTTCATTATCCTGGTGGTGCACTACGGCCCCCACCTCCGCACCGTCCAGATCACCCTCTACCACGAGCCCATGCCGCAGGACATGGACAACGGGGTGCACCTCACGGACTGGAAGAAGCTGGGCTCCCAGAAGAAGCTGCCTGCCCAGCCCTGCCAGCAGGAGCCGGGCGGCGTGGACGCGGCCGGCATGAGCTGCCAGTGCTCCTGCAGACACCACCTTCCCCTCGGCAGCGCTGAGCCCAACGTCATCGAGATCACCTACCTGTGACAAGGCTGTGGGACACCCGGGTGGCACTCAAGGGACCGTGTCCTGCTGGAAAAGCAGTGACTGGGACATTAGCTTAGCCTGAGGCTCACCGGTTCCTGCACGCTGAGGTTTTATCTCCCCAGGATCGTGTCTCTCCCCAGGTGGGCTCAGCCATGGGGTTGAGCGTCACTGTGGTGACCCACCATCAATCAGCCCCCAAAAGCCCAGCCTCTTGGGGTGCCACCGTCCCCAGGCAAGAGCTGGGCCCCCAGCCCAGGCTGTGGGGCTGGGTCAGCCCACGTGGGACAGCGTTAGCTCCTCTTCTGGTTTTTCTTGCCCTGGTTTTACCTGTCCCACGCTGCCTGGGAGTGCCCAGGAGAGCTGGCTCGGTTCTCGCTCCAGCTGGGGAGCGCTGGGCGGACGCTCGGCCCCTTGGCAGGAGCTGGAAGTTGCATCATCTGGAATTGCTTTCCAGATTAAAGATGTTTCCACACGCACGGTGTCCTCGTTATGCCCTTTATGTGGCACAGAAAAGCCCCCAGCCCCTCTGTCCTCCCCCCTGCCAGTCCTGGGAAGGGGACAAAGAGCCAGAGGAGAAGAGGCAGCACCTGCACCTTGATGTTTCAGTGGTGGACCCACCAGCAGAGGACAACGTGTCCGGTCCTACTATGGAGGTGTGTGAGAGAAGAAAGGTGGCACAGCAGAGGCAGGAGAGGTGATAACGGCACATCGGCCACCCCTTGCTGTTGGATGGACATCTTGAGCTGTTGGCACTGGTGGAGAAACACTTGCATCTCTGGGCAGAGCCCGCAGCATCTCCA